ACAGAGGCAGGTGAATCTCTGTGAGTTAGAGGCCAGCCTGGTCTACAAGGAGAGTCCTGGACAGCCAGGGCTATTACACAGAGAAACCCTGTCTCAAAAAACAAAAACAAATAAATAAAAAGTTATACCATTACCCTGGCTTTCTGAATGCACACAGCAAAACTTCTTGAAATAGAATCTTGAGTTTCTGATCCATGCCATTTTGGAAGAGTCTGCTAACAGGAACCTTGGTGTCTTGTGACTTGCTGGTACAGATGCTATCTCAAAGTCTAGGAACCCATTGTGATACTCTCTATAGACATTTTCACATGTTCAAATGTCTGTTTGTTGTCCTTGACGTGATTCTAAACCTTCACTCCAGAGTGGCTGTGGCCACAAAGTCCCTTCTTGGAAAACTTCTACTCTTTCCTTTGCTGGGAACCCAGGTATGTGGAGATGGAGCAGATGAAGAAAGGGGAGCAAGTCCCAGAAAGAATACGTGGAATTGAGGTCAGCAGACATGCTGTCTCCTGGTTTGCAACTGGGATTCTAATGCATTTGTAATTTGGTTTTTAATGGATTTCTATTTCACATCTACTTTCTGAATAAAAAATGTGCTTTGCCAAGAAACAATTTTTTTTTAACTTTCAGTTCCTCCTTCAAAATGGAAGTGACATTGATTTGTAAGATTATGAAATCTCATGGCAAGCAAATATCTTGGTACTATTATGAAGCAAGTTCACATTTCTGAGATGCTGACAGAAACATACTCTAATTCTTTTAAAAATCAAATTAGTTAGCTATTAATTTAACTTTCTTACAATGGTTCTAATTACTTGTTTTTCTATTAAGACGCAAACTGCCTCCTGAAAAGACAAAGTGATAAATTCCTCTTTGCAAAATGAGGTGAGAATAAAAATCAGGACTAGAAAGAACAAGGGAGACAAAAGATTTGGACAAGATGAGTAAATAAATATGCAAGCCATATAAAATGGATGACTAGAAACAGAAGGGAATGAGGAGAGAGGGGAGAAGATGGAGGAAAGAGATGAAATAAAAGCACTTCAATCAAAAATTCAGGTATCAAAATCAAAGCATTTTAGATGAGAACAAAGCAGATTAAGTTTACCAGTAAAAACCATTCTAACTCTTCAGAGTGAAGCCTGAAACCAGAAAACTAGTTTCTGAGTAAGAAGCAGGAGTTAAACTTCCCAGTGTACCTTAACTGACTGGGAAAAGACAAATGTGTAAACTGGAGAAACAAAGCAAAAACTCAAAAACTGTGATGGTACCAGCTTCCTGCCTTAGGGGGAAGGTTCTAAATCAGGGCTCAGAGAAGTGATCCAAGAGCCCAGAACTCTCGAAGGATTAAGAAGTCAGGGATCCATTGCTCAGTTGAGAGACAACTGGGTTGTTTCCGGATTCTGGCTACTACAAACATGGTTGAACAAATGTCCTTGTTGTATACTTGATCATATTTTGGATATATGCTAGGTGTGGTATAGCTGGATCTTGAGGAAGCGCTATTCCTAGTTGTCTGAGAAAGGGCCAGATTGATTTCCAAAGTGGTTGCACAAGTTTACATTCCCACCAGCAATGGAGGAGGGTTCCCCTTTCTCCACAACCTCTCCAGCAAGTATTATCATTTTAGTTTTTGATCTTAGCCATTCTGAGGGGTTTAAGGTAGAATCTCAGGGTCATTTTAATTTGCATCTCCATGATGGCTAAGGACCTTGAACATTTCTTTAGGTGTTTCTCTGCCATTCTATATTCCTCTACAGAGTATTCTCTGTTTAGCTCCATATCCCATTTTTTTTTAATCGAATTACTTGATTTGTTGCTTTTTAACTTCTTTGGTTCTTTATATATCCTGGATATTAGTCCTCTGTCAGATATAGGGTTGGTGAAAATCCTTTCGCAGTCTGTAGACTGTCATTTTGTTCTGATGACAGTGTCTTTTGCTTTACATAAGCTTTTCAGTTTCATGAGGTCCCATTTGTTGATTGTTGCTCTTAGAGCCTGTGCTGTTGGTGTTCTGTTTAGGAAGTGCCAATGAGTTCTAGGCTTTTCCCCATTTTTCTTCTAACTGATTTAGTGTGTCTGGTTTTATGTTGAGGTCTTTGATCCACTTGGACTTTAATTTTGTGCAGGATGATAAATATGGATCTATTTTCATTTTTCTGCATGTAGACATCCAGTTGGACCAGCACCATTTGTTGAAGATGCTGTCTTTTTTTCCATTGAATGGTTTTGGCTTCTTTATCAAAAATCAAGTATCCATATAATGGATACAAAAATTGTGGTACATTTTCACAATGAAATACTACTCAGCAATTAAAAACAAGGAAATCATGACATTTGCAGGCAAATGGTGGGATCTAGAAAAGATTGTCCTGAGTGAGGTATCCCAGAAGCAGAAAAACACACATGGTATATACTCACTTATAAGTGGATACTAGACCTAAAAGATAGCATAAACATACTAAAATCTGTACACTTAAAGAAGCTAAACAAGAAAGAGGACCTGGGGTAAGATGACCAATCCTCACTTAGAAAGACAAATGGGATGGACATTGGAAGTAGGAGAAAACAAGAAACAGGACAGGAGCCAACCATAGAGGGCCTCTGAAAGACTCTACCTAGCAGTGTATCAAAACAGATGCTGAGACTCATAACCAAACCTTGGGCAGGGAGAGTGGATCCAAGATGGTGGCGCTGGAAGGACACTTTTTCAAACCTTGGGCAGAGTGCAGGGAATCATATAAAAGAAGGGGGAGTTAGTAAGACATGGAGAAGACAGGAGCTCCAAAAGGACCAAATATATCTGGGCACAGGAGTCTTTTCTGAGACTGATTCTCCAACCAAAAACCATGTTTGGATATAACCTAGAACCCCTGCTCAGACGTAGCCCATGGCAACTCAATATCCAAGTGGGTTTCCCTAGTAAGGGGAACAGGGACTGTCTCAGTGGCTGGCTCTCTGAACTCTCCCCATCCCTGAGGGAGGAGGAGCCTTACTAGGCCACAGAGGAGGACATTACAGCCAGTCCTGATGAGACCCGATAAGCTAGGGTCAAATGGAAGGGGAGAAGGACCTCCCCTATCAGTGCACTTAGAGAGGAACAGGGAGGAGATGAGGGAGGGAGGGTGGGATTGGGCGGGAATGAGGGAGGGGGCTACAGCTGGGATACAAAGTGAATAAACTATAATTAATATAAAAAATAAAAATTAAAAAAGTCAGGAATCAGACTTCAGAGAAGCCCAACACCCTGGATTTGTGGGATGGAATACCAGGTAGGAAGAAACAACCCAAACCAGGCCTCCAGACATCAGGGTCTGTGGCTGTACCCTCATTTGCCCACATGTGGCTAGAGGAAAAAAACAAGCACAAGCAAAGAGTAGCTTCACCAGGAAAATAACATTGGCCAGGGCTGTGAGACCCTATAAGAATGCAAGCCTCACCACTTCCTTCAGCCACCATGTGACCCAGAACACCATCCAGCAAGTGTTTCCTGTGTCTTACAGTCTCCTGTGTAGCTCAAGGTATTTGCAAGGAGTAGACGTGGATCGGGAGAAAGAAAGGAAGCAGCTGTTACAGGCACACGTGGTCCCAGGGGGAGTATGCCTGGGCTCTCGTCTATGGAAAATACCCTTTCCTGGCACCTGGATCAACACCTAAGTCAATTTGCTAAGCAGCCACAGCTGTTGCTGGTAGCTCTTCCACAGTGGAGAATAGTTCGCTCTTGTCATGACCTCCGGGTTTTGGCTCTTGCTGGGAGACCGTGGATTATTTCTAATCTAAGCATTGCATGGCCCCATAGCAACCACCCAAATCTCCGAGTCAAACGTCTCTGTCCAGTTCAGACTGTTTTCTGGAAAGAATGCTCCCTATGCCTAGACTTCCAGAGTCACTCATTAGAACACACCTATGAGAGCCAAGCGGGAGGCTGAAGGGAACGAGACCATGTTCACCACATCCCACATACTTCATGCCTCAAATTGTATTTTTAAGGTTCAAGGATATTGTAGATATAGAAAGGGAGAACTGGGGTTCAACCTGTTGGTACAAACCTACTTCGTCTCTTCCTGTTCAAGTGGAAGTGCTGTCTCATTTCTTCCTGGCTGATAGCCTGCTCTAAGAATTGCTATGTCACCTTCCTGTCTTCAGATCCCCATACTTCCCAAATGCATTCATTCTCTTCCCCAAAGCCCCTTTCTCTCCTTCTGCCCAGCCAACGATTAGCTCATCCTGATGCACCCACCGAACATGCTCACTGAAGTGATCCCCCGGCACATTGCCCAAGAGCATGAAAACTGGAGCCTGTGCCTTAGATCCAAGAGCTGTCTCTGTCACAAACTGGACGTGTGCTCCCGTTTGTACCTTAACCGTTGCTAAACTCTCTAGGCCAGTTACCTTGACTGTAGAAGGAAAACATCCTTAGTATGTGTTTCAGAGTCACTGTGTGGATTAATGAGATATTCTCCCTAAAGCCCTGGGCACAGTGCCTGGCACGCAATGGGCTCTCACTAAATGCGAGCTTCTATTATCCATAGTTACCTTTTATTTGGGTTTTGTTCAGTGAAATAGCAAGGTCAAAAGGAAAAGGAAATGATAATTCTTGTAGTTCTTTTTTTTTTCTAGAAAGGAAAAATGGGACAATGGAGAAGGCTGATGAACTGAGGGAGAGAGAGAGAGAAGCATGAAGGTGCCAGGTGGGAAGCAAAGCTCCTCCTTGTCTTGTGCACCCTCCCTGCCGCCTTCAGACATAGACAGAAGCAAAGCTTTAGCATCTTTAAGTCCTCAGGCTCAGGCTATGGCTTCACTTCTGGGTGACCAATGCTGTGTTCAGAATCACTGTGGAGCATAATTCAATGAACCTTTTAAACCACATCATAATGCATCCAAACATCAGAAGCAGAAAAAAAGATAAATAAATAAACCCCATGCAACTTATTTTTTTACCAGATTGTGGAGTCGGTGAAAAAACTTGCTACATTGGGGATAAAACAGACTTTACTCACTGGCAGGAATCTACTTGGCTGATTAAGGTTCGTCCCTTTTGCAGAGCGTCGGCTGTGGAGTCTTTAATTTCTCTGTGTAATTCCTCATGCCTTGCTGCCAAGGCAGGCAGGCTTAAACCCTCTGATTTAAGGAGCTTAAGGTAAGCTTCAACTTTTCCAAGTACATCAAATGCCTGCCAAAGAAAGAAAAAAACATACTTTCATTTTCTGCTTCTCTAGTTTGAAACTCTACATCAATGTGTACACGAAACACTAGCGATTAAACCAGACCATTCAACTCCTAACAGTTTAATCATAGCAACAACAAAAGCCTTAGTTTGGAAAACAGCTGTGCAGCTCCCACTCAGGGAAACTTATAGCTTAGTTCAACATAAAAAAAAAATGTCAACACCGTAAAATTACCAAAATCACATATATTGAGAAGATACCAGTATGACACAGATAGCTAAAACAGTGTGAAATTCGAAGAGTCAGATGATGTTTTGCATATTTTATACCGTACAAATATAATGGATGCGCTATTAAAAACTCAATAGCCTTTCATGACCCGAACATCTCTATAATAGGTATTAAAGGAAAACTTCCTAATGAGCTATACTTTGAACCTTAAGCACTAGAGAGAGACAACCAAGAAAGCATTACTATTGTTTCCCCCTTTGCCTTTTAAAACGTGACCTTGGCCTGTTCTACCAAAGGCATCTATAAGCCCACAGGAGAGGATTACAATTCAGTTCTGGGATACTGTCAAGAGTGGGATCAAAGTAACAGCTTCAGATATGCTCCGTAATAATATACAGAAAAAAAATGAAGCCTTTTCAAGAAAGGCGTTGTCTTAAAATGTTTTATGTGTGTGGGTGCTTTGCCTGCATGCATATCTGTGCACCACGTGCATGCTACGTGCCTGTGGAGACTAGAAGAGGTTGTGGGGTTCCTTTGAACTAGAGCAACAGATGTTTATGGAGTATCATGTGGGTGTTGGGAACTGAATTCCAGTCCTTTGGGAAAGCAGCCAATGATCTTAACCACCAAGCCATCTCTCCAGCCACCTCTGCTCAAGCTATTGTCTTAAAATAAGATTTTTAAACGTTAATTTTTTAAAAAAATGTATTCACTTTACATCCCAATTGTATCCCCTCCCTTGTCTCTTCTTGGTCCCATCCTCTCTCCCTCTTCCCTCCTACTCCCCTTCCTAGTCCTCAAAAAGGGGAATTTTTTTTTAGATTTGAGTTTTAAAATTTTTTTTAAAATTTATTCACTTTGTATTCCAGCCGTAGTCCCCTCCCTCCATCCTTCCCAACCCTACCCTCCTTCCCTTTTCTCCCCCTATGTCCCTATCCAAGTCCACTGATAGGGAAGATCTTCCTCCCCTTCCGTCTGATCCTAGCCTATCAGGTCTCATCAGGACTAGCTGCATTGTCTTCCTCTGTGGCCTGGTAAGGCTGCTTCCCCCTCAGGGGAAGGTGATCAAAGAGCAGGCCAATCAGTTCATGTCTAAGACAGCCCCTGTTCCCCTTACTAGGAAACCCACTTGGACACTGAGCTGCCATGGGCTACATCTGTGCAATGATTCTAGGTTTTCTCTTTGCATGGTCCTGGGTTGGAATATCAGTCTCAGAAAAGACCTCTGTGCCCAGGTTCTGTTGCTCTCCTTGTGAAGCTCCTGTCCCTCCAGATCTTTCTATCTCCCCCTTCTTTCATAAGATTCCCTGCACTCTGCCCAAAGTTTGGCTATGAGTCTCAGCCTCTGCTTTGATATCCAGATGGGTAGAGTCTTTCAGGGGCCCTCTGTGGTAGGCTCCTGTCCTGTTCCCTGTTTTCTCCCTCTTCTGATGTCCATCCCATTTGCCTTTTTGAGTAAGGATTGATCATCTTGTCCAGCGTCCTCTTTCTTGCTTAGCTTCTTCAGGTGTACAGATTTTAGTATGTTTATCCTATCTTATATGTCTAACATCCACTTATAAGTGAGTATATACCCTGTGCCTCTTTCTGCTTCTGGGATACCTCTCTCAAGACGATCTTTTCTAGATCCCACCATTTGCCTGCAAATTTCATGATTTCCTTGTTTTTAATTGCTGAGTAGTAAAGCAACAAATCACGTAATCCCATTAAAAAATGGGGTACAGAGCTAAACAGAGAATTCTCTACAGGAGAATATCGAATGTCAGAGAAACACCTAAAGAAATGCTCAGCATCCTTAGTCATCAGGGAAATGCAAATCAAAACGACCCTGAGATTTCACCTTATACCCATCAGAATGGCTTAGATCAAAAACTCAAGTGACAACATGTGCTGGAGAGGTTGTGGAGAAATGAAAACCCTCCTCCACTGCTGGTGGGAATGTAAACTTGTACAACCACTTTGGAAATCAATCTGGCACTTTCTCAGATAATTGGGAATAGTGCTTCCTCAAGATCCCGCTATACCACTCCTAGGCATATATCCAAAAGATGCTCAGATACACAACAAGGACATTTGTTCAACCATGATCGTAGCAGCTTTATTCATAATAGCTAGAATCTGGAAACAACCCAGGTTGTAATCTAATTCAATCCCTCAACTGAAGAATGGATACAGAAATTGTGGTATATGTACACAATGGAAAGGGGGAAATTTTTAATCTTTCTGCACTGGCAGACAGATTGACTGTCCAACATAGCAGATGAAGTTTAAAAACTTAACATGGGATACAAAGGAGCTATTCATTGGCTATTGAGGCCAAGGTGACATTAAGATATGGAAGCATTGGGCTAGAGGGATGTCTCAGCCGTCAAGAGTGTCTTCTTACTGAAGACCCAAGTTTTGTTTTCAGAACCCACACTGGGTGGCTTACAACCTTCTGCAACTCTAGCTTGAGGGAACACTACATCCTCTTCTGGACAGACACATGCATTTGTGTTTATGTACACACACATACATAGACACACACACATTGCAAACACTATGCAAACAATCTACAAGTAATAAAATTAAAAGCTATACAAGATAACATATGGATAATAAAGGAGTATTGTAATTTTTTTTAGAAAGGTAAGGCAGAATGCAGTCTTCATAGGTTTCCTGCTAGTCCACATTTTACCTTTGGCCTAGAGAGATGAGTAAACTAAGCCAAAGAAAAGCTGAACATCATGAGATTACTTTCCCCCTCAGCACTCTTGAAGAAAAACACCCTCCAGACTGTCCCATACCACTCCAAAACAAAACAAAACAAAACAAACAACAACAACAAAACTAGTTATATTTCAAAATGTTCCCAGGACCATGGAACAATAGGTAGGTCAAGAGAAGCCTTGAAGTCTGGCCTTCCTATATTGCTAAGTGCGAATTCACAAAGTTTGGCAGGAGCCCATGAGAATGGAGTAGGCATACCCCCATAGAAGATGGTCAGGGAGGATTCCAGACCTCAGACATCAGAGACAAGAACAGGTGTTTGGGGGCTTGGTCTGGTGCTATGTGTATTCCAGTTGCTGAATTCTGGGCCCCAAAATATTATTGCAATATGGACAAGGGCATTGCCATATATAGTGATCAATATTGTATAAACTTTGCTCCCCAATGTCTCTGATTGGTTAATAAAGTTGCTGACAGCCAATAACTGGGCAGAAGAGATAGGTAGGCAGAACTTCCATTCCCAGGTTTAGGGTCTCAGGTAGAGACCACAGGGGAGGAAAAAGGAAGAGGTAGAGAAAGGATGTGGTGATTAAGAACTGAGATGATAGAGCAGAAACAGCCCTGACAGGACCAATATAGAAAGTAGATCAGAGAGTGTGGCTGGGAAATAGCAAGACTAGCACAGAGGATTAGTATAAATAGATGCCTAAAGCTTACTTAAAAATCTAATAAGTCTCTGTGTCATCTATTGGGGAGATAGAATGGGTGGTTTTAAAAAAAAAGCTCCCCCCCCCAAAAAAAAAGCTCCCCAATCAAATGAAAGGGGAGGAGGTCCTCCCCTATCAGTGGACTTGGAAAGGGACAGGGAGGAGATGAGGGAGGGAGGGTGGGGTTGGGAGGGAATGAGGGAGCAGGATACAGCAGAGATATAAAGTTAAACTGTAACTAATATTTAAAGAAATGAAAAAAAAAGCTCCCCAAAATATAACTTTTCATTATACAGGGCTAGTGGAGACCTGAGGGAGGCAGAGAAGTGGGCCTGAGTTGATTCTCACAGAAGACAATTTCAGCTTCAGCAGTGGGGTTGAGGATGGCTAGAACATGTCCTTTGAGTTCAGCTACTGTCTTAGGGAAGTGTGAATGGCCAAATTAAAACTGAATGGAACTGGAATCTACAGAAATCCCTCAAATGATCTTCTATGTTGAGATTCTCCTCTCCTCCTCATATCTTCCACGTTTGCTCTTTCTAGCCACGTGAGCTAGAGCCCTTTCTTACCTGACCATGTTTCTCTTTCACTTGCAAACAGAGCAAAGTGCAGCAATGTGCTGATATTAGTAAATATGGTTTTATGACCTTCTGGGTCCTTCCATAGCTTACTGAAGCATCACCGAGGGACAAGCACTGTTTCTAGAATTTCACTGTGTATTTTAAATTTGGGTTGCTCATTTAGGATAAAATGGTGCCTCTTGTTAATTGAGGGCCAAGATTTAAAGTCAATGCCTAAAGTAAACTTCTGATAGCTAAAATTACCTTAGATTGCCTTAATTCCCACTTAAAGTTTAAGGTTGGTGAATTGTTGTGTGTTATATTTTGGATTATCAAGCCCAAGCTCCAGCAGAGGCAGAGATAAATGGAAAGTCTACATGTAAATGTCAGGATGTGGTCTTTTTTTTTTTCCTTTAAAAAGACGTTTTCAGTCTCTTATGAGTGGAGGAGGGATAGAGAATTCAAAGTACCTTTTCTTGTTTCAAATCTAACCCCATTCTGTTTTAATAACAGACCATGCCACGATTATTATTGTTTTGAAAATTAAAAAAAAAAATAATGAAAGTAACTAAGAATGAGGGCAGATGTGGTACTCAGACACTGTTTGCTGCTGTTCTAAATCTTCATCAATCAAACACATCTTTTAAAAAAATCTCCTAGAAGGGCACAGCTAGCTGTTGCCTGACTTTGATTCAATGGGGCTTCCCCAATGACCCTGTCCAAGCAGTCACCTCTCTCAGACCTCAGCTATGGTCCCACCTTCACAGAAGAAAGAAACTAAAACTGCAAGGCTGTTGG